TCCTCCTCCTCCTCTCCCTCCTCCTCTTCCTCCTCCTCCTCCCCTTCTTTTTCCTCCTCCCCCTCTTCTTCCTCCTCCTCCCCTTCCTCCTCCTCCTCCTCCTCCCCTATTATTACTGAGAATCAATCTTGTGTAGCCTGACTAGCCTTGAACTCTCACATGTAGCCAAGAGAAATACTGAACTCAAGGTCTCCCTACCCTAACCCACCTCGTGCTGGGATTACACGTATCACCACCACATGCCTGTGGAGTGCTAACCCTCATCACCAACAACATCATTATCCTATAGCCAGTCATGGTGGCCCGTGCCTTTGATCCCAGCACTCTGGAGGCAGAAGCAGGGGGCTCTTCTGAGGCCAATCAAAGGGTACTTAGTGAGACCCTGTCTAAAAACAAAGCAGAGTAAAATGGCAACAGAAAGGGAATGGTTATATTATTGTTCGAGAACCATCTAAGCCCTCCCTTCCTTTCTCCTCTAGGTGCTTTCAAAGCTCTTGACAAAAATGGCACCGGACAGATTCAAGTGAACATCCAGGAGGTGAGAGGGCTTCTCATGGGGGTGGTGCTCCGCTGTGAGGTCCAGCCCTTACCGTGCCCAGCAGGCCCTGGGCGAGGTGTCTGGTTCTTCTGGGTCCTTTGCTCATCTGTGCTTTCCTCTTCCAGTGGCTGCAGCTGACTATGTACTCGTGAGTGGGAGTCGCAGACCTGTCTCCTCAGCTCACTCTGTCCCCTCAGCTCACTCTGGAGCCACCTTGAACCCTGACCCTGACTGCAGCCACATTTTTCATGGTCATGTCCTGCTACCCAGAGGCCTTTCTTCTCCCTGTCCTGCTACCCAGCTTCCCAGTCAGCAGTCAGAGCTCAACATGCCCCAGCTTGCCGTACCCTGAGTTACCCCTGGCTCTGAGATGAGCTAGCTCGATCTGCTGAAGGGTCACCCCACCCCAGCACACCCAATCCACACCCTCCGCTACCTCCATCCTGTCCTTGTGCCAAGCCTAACACTCCTTGTCGCCTCCGTGTCCCGAGGGCCCTGTCTTAGTTCTGGGAGGATCGCACCTGTCCCTACACACCCTGTTACACACACAGTTACCTCCCAGGCAGCCAAATGAACTCCAGGCCAGGGCAGGTCCACACACCCTAGTGCCTATGCCTGCCCTGTGCTCTCCCTGCACAACTGTCAGGCCCGGGAGGAAATAAACTGTCTCCACTTGCCGCTTTCTTTGGACCCTGAGGGCTGAGAGGTGACGTGGAGTCCAGGCAGGAGACACCGTGAATTCTATAGAGTCACATGGTTATTTATTTAATGTGTATGTATAGAATGTGCATCTGTATACATACACTATGTATGTGCCACCCTCTGGGACTGGAGGTACGGGGGGGGGGGGGTCACGAGTCACCACTGGGATGCTGGGACCCGATTCCCGATCCTCTGCAATAGCAGCAAGTCCCGTCCCTCCAGTGCCACAGGTGGTCTGGGGCGCCAGTCACTGGGGCTGGATCTGTGTATTCTCTGCTCCGTAACTTTTTTCTCTCAGACTCGGTTCCAAGTTGAGGCTCAGCCGGGTTTTGCGGGGCTTCACCTGGATCCCATGCAGGCTGAGAATGGGACTCGGAATCCCCAGTGGTCCGCTTCCCAAGCTGTTCAGAGAACACCGTGACCCTCTGTCCCTCGGGGTCATGCTTGTTCCGAGCTTCGGTCTTTTAGGTCCTCCAACTGGTTCACTGATTGGTGCTGAGAATGGAACCCAGGGCTTTCACACGTGCGCGTGTTCTCACACACACCCACACACCATACATTCTCTCTCTCTCTCTCTCTCTCACACACACACACACACACTATACATTCTCTTTCCTTCTTTCCCTCTCTGTCACATACACACACACACTCACACACCATATCCCACACCCACCATACACTCTTACACTCACATATACACCCCCAATACCACTCACACATACACACACCACACCCCCACTCACTTACACCACAAACACACCATACACTCTCACACTCACATACACACTCCCCAACACCACATAGTCACACACTCACAGAAACACATGAGACACATTCACCACACTCACACATGACACACTCACACACATTCTCTCTTTCACACACACTCAGACACCACACACAGTTACCACACACACATACTATACACTCTCAGAGATATACACACACACTACATACACTCACAGGCTCACACACAGCCTCACACACACATGCTCACACACTCACCCCCTCACACACACTTGCTCACACACTCACCCCCTCACACACACATGCTCACACACTCACCCCCTCACACACACATGCTTACACACTCACCCCCTCATACACACATGCTCACACACTCACCCCCTCTCACACTCATTCTCTGGTAGAGTCTGTGCTCTTTCACTCAGCTCTGTCACCAGCGAGCTTCCGTCTTGGCACCAATCTTTGTCCTTGGTTCATAGGTCACGGTCAGCATCTTTCCTTTTTGCCAGAGTCTGTCTGTAATACAGCCATGGCTACCCTGGAACTAGCCCCTCGCCTTTCCTCCCCTTTGGGCCTCTGCAAGGGGAGGGGTTCCATTCCAGATTATAACACCCTTGCTCCATTCCCATCACCACCTGAGGTCCTCCGCCCTGACATCCCCCACCCCCACAGGCACCTATAAAGAAGATTGTCCTAGGGACAGTGCTGGTCCAGCATCAGGAACCAAGATCTGGGGTAACTTGCTTTCCACTGAGAAAACAGCCCAGATTGTGGGAAGGTGCGTTAGGACACAGACACACAGGCTGGGTTGGGTTCTCAAGAGATTAGCATATTTATTGTCAAAGTCCTTGAGCTTCTTGGTGTCACTTCTTGTGGGGGAAGGAGGCCCAGCCCAAGCAGTATAAAGAGTAAGCAGTGCCTAGGAAGGAGGAGTTGGATATCAAATGAGACCCTAATTACCTCTCAACCTCCTGCAAGGCCTCTAAAAGCCCCTCCTTAGGTTCCCCCAGCTCTTAATCAGCTGTCAACTTCCTCCCAAACTGAATTCCTCCGGGGGGAATCCCCACCTCCACAAGCTCGGATTTGGGTCAGGTCAGGAGCTTGTTCTGGGCTGGGGTGGGGATTACCGATTTCTAGTCCCCGCTTCCTCAGGGCTGTAGGTAACCCATTGCTCCCTTCCTAAGCACTAGTGGGTCCTCAGACCTTGTCAGCTTAGGCCCCACCCCTTCTGAAGCACCAACCAACCCGATCCTGGCTATTCCTACAACCGGAGCGAGCCAGTGGGGCCCCCCCCCCCCCGCACTCACCCCCCAGCGTCAGTGTCATGGTCAGTCTGTACAGGATGTTGTCCATTCCCCCGCCCTTCAAGTGGACTGGCAGGTCATTGTCGGCCTGAGTTTGAGGGATGAGAACAGGGTTGCCGGCTCCTGCACAGACCTCCACCTGTCCTGACACCCCCACCCCTCGTTGGGTCCAGAGATTGTCCCGCCTACCTGGAAGAGCTTCTGCTTCTCTGCCACGCGGTTTTCTAAGAGGCTCCTGGGAGATGAGCTAAAAGACCGGACCAGAGCCTGGGAGACCTGGAGGGATAGGACATGGTAGCACCTGGAGATCTGCCCTCATACGGACCCGGCAGGAAGGGGGCGCTTTGCGATCAGGATGTGGGGACTGTGTTTCTGGTGAACAGCTAGGCAAGATAGTCACCAGTGAGAGTGTGTATATGGGGGGGGGGGGAAGGGATTCAGTAAGAGATTGGTGGAGGCCTATAATCCCAGCCCAGCATTCAAGAGGAAAGCAGGAGTTCGAGGCCAGCCTGGGCTACTTGGTAAGCATTTAGAAAATGAGGGGAGGTGTCACACGTATATTACAGTTGGGAGGTGGTGGCAGGAGAATCGGCAGGTCAAGGACATATTCATCTGCATAGCAAGTTAGAGGCTAGCCTGAGCGACATGGGACTCTGTGTCAAAACAGCAACAACAAAATGGAGATGGGGAATCGGTCCCTAGATGCTACAGGTTGGAGCTCTGCAGGCTTCAAGAGGATCCCGGAGACTCTCCAGTTGAGAACGTGAAATAGGTGTTTCAGGACTGAAAGAGGGGGCTGGATTAATACGAGAAAATCGGGTTCCAGGGATGGCAAGACTGGCTTGGAAGTTCCATGAGAGCTGGTATTAGGGCTGGGATGTTAAGGGGGACTCGGGTAAACGGAGGTTCAAACCCAGGGCTCTGGACCATGGTAAGGATACTGCTGTCTGGAAGCTCAGGCTGTCGGGGAGGAAGTCCCAGAATCTGAAGGGTGAACCTGTTCCAAGACTCCGGATCCTGGCATCTTTAGGGTAGGCATGTGGGTTGTGGGGTCCCCTCCACCCCGACACAGCCTTTGGGGGGGCCTCACCTTACGTAAGGCCCTCATTTTGCGTCCTCAGCAGCTCGAGTCACCTCCCCTCTTTGCCCAAGGACGTGCAGCACTTTACCCTAAGGGAATCCCAAACCACGCCCACTCTCTGCCTGATGGAGGCGTGGCTAAATGATATTTATCCAATAGGGTCAGAGAGAAAGTGTTCCAACTTGTCAGTCATCGGTTTCCGCATTTGGGTTGACCCCATCGGAATATGTGTTTGCGGAGACGGTGGCTCAGGGGACCTGCCATTCCTTGGCTGTTATCTAGGGTTACCCTGCTTGGTATCCAGAAGCCAGTGAGAGCAGAAATAACCGAGTTCTGTCTACAGAATGAGTAGTGAACGTTGCACTTTGAAGCCTTAGTTTCCATATTTAATTCCTGAGGGCCAAGTCAGGATCTTCCCCAGTGTTCTTGAGGAAACAAGGAGCCACCCCGATACAGAGAAGGATATTTACCAGGCCAGAACTGATTTAAGAAATTAAAAAAAAAAAATCATAGCGGGCCATGGTGACTCAGACCTTTAATTACAGCGGTTCTGAAGCACACTGGTCTACACTGTGAGTTCCAGCTCTGCCACGGCTGCTACTACGTTAAAAAAAAAAAAAAAAGTTTAAGGGACTGGAGAGATGGCTGGCCGGTTAAGAGCACTGTCTGCTAGTCCAAAGGACCCTGGTTCAATTCCCAGCACCTATATGGCTGCTCACCGATGTCTGTAACTGCAATTCCCAGGGGTCCAACACCCTCACAGAGACACACATGCAGGCAAAACACCAATGCACATAACAAAATAAAAAAAGAACAGACAGCAAACAGATGGGAGGGGGAAGATGGAAAGAGCAGAGGGAGAAAGAGGCATTCCTTTAGAGAAAAATGTGGGGATTTTGTTTTTTCTTTGTTTGTTTTTAGCTGAAGTTAAGCTTCCTAGACCTTTTCTTTGGGGTCCAGCCTTCATAGGTGAGGATGGCAGCCCACTATTTTCCCCTCTCTGAGACTGGCCATTTGGGTGGGGCCTCGGGAGTTAGGAGTTAGGCTTAATTACAGATGGATCCACCTAAGTCACCAGGTCTGACTGCTAGTGAGTGGGTCATTTTGCTTTTAATTTTTAGCCTTTTTGTCTGCATAATTAGAGCTTTATTGAGGCAATAAAGTGAGCACACAGCACAAATCAGCACAGTTTAGAAAAAAGACCGGCTGCTGGTGAGCCAGCTCTGTGGTTCAGCACTCTTGCTGTTCGATTCTATAAGGCTGTCCTCCTGTGGCACAGGTGGGCCCTCCCACCATACACAAATAGTAAAATTAATAAAATACAGCAAAAAGAAAGACACTTGGTGGCTGGAGGTTTGAGGAGCAGGAGTTCAAGGCTAGCCTTAGCTACAGAAAGTTCCAGGCTAGCTGGAGTTGCCTGAGACCTCGTCTGTAAAGGGAAGCACAAGAAGGGGAGGAGGAAGAGAAGAAAGAAGAAGAAAAAAACTGTGATTTCCAGAAAATCAAACAAAAGCCATTGTTTGTAGTGGGAACATTTGCATATCTATTTTGTGTGTGTGTGTGTGTGTGTGTGTGTGTGTGTGTGTGTATGAGTGTAGGATTAAATCCAGCACCAGCTCATGCTGGGCAAGCTGGCTGCCCTGAAGCCACACCCTAGTCCACAGTGAAAGAGCTATGGCTTGAGAGTCACATATTTTGCATTAAGTTTACTTTCACCTGTATGAAGTGGAAAACTTAAGGGTTCTTTGGAGAGTCAGTTGTGTTGGGTGGCGTTTTGCTGGGGCAAACACGTGAAGGAGTGTTTTCCTGAAGTGGACTCAGGTGAAAGACTAAGGCAGGCTTGTGAAGGAACACGTCACTGAAGCAGACACAGGAGAGAGGATGTTCTGCTAAAGGAAGCACCTGAAAGGACAGGTGACAGAAGCTGATCTGGACTGAGCTGGACAGAGCTGGACTTGGCTTGCTTACATAGCTAAACACTTGTTGGTTTCCTGTCTACCCTGATTTTGCTTCACTCCTGATTCATGTTTGCTATCCCAACTCTACCGCACTGGACTGCTGGTGTATCCATGAAGTGTTTGCGAGTGGATCAAGCGCCGCTGCTGACCTGTGAACTGAACTGCCCATTTCCTGACAATTTAGACGGGAGTTGCTCCAAAGAGCCATTTCTAAACAGCTCCACTCCCCGAAACCCCATATCCTTTCTTTCCCACTACTTCTGGTGGATGTTGGCTAAAAGGGAAGTTAAAGCACTTAAGAACCATCATTAAAAACAAGTTTCTAAGGTTGGAGAGATGGCTTAGCGGTTAAGAGCACTGACTGCTCTTCCAGAGGTCCTGAGTTCAATTCCCAGCAACCACATGGTGGCTCACAACCATCTGTAATGGAATCTAATACCCTCTGCTGGTGTGTCTGAAGACAGCAACAGTGTACTTACATATGTATAAACAAGTAAATTAATTTAAAAAAATAAGTTTTTAAAACATTAAGTTACACCTATGTGCAATCACACTAACTACACCATATGCATATCATATATACCCACAACACAACAATGCACCTACACATACACACACACACACACACATATCCATGTAAACATAAGTACAGAAGATGTGGCTCAGCAAATACTGGCTTGGTTATTCATGGTTCATCATATATCCACCATCTGTGCTCTGCCCACCACCAGTCCCTATTATGTCTAGATGTATTTCAAAGTAGGTCGTGGGTCAGCATCTTTTTTTTAAATTAATTCATTATATGCCACTAACTAGGCTCCCTGGTCATTGGCTTATACCAAATAATGTGGCATTGCAATTTTAGCTGCTGGTTCGCTAAGCTCGCTGGAATTGAAGAGCCCTGGATTGAGAGAGCCTCACTCAATAATCAGGAACCAAGAAAGACCCTGATGTCAGCTTTTGGCCTCTATATATGTGGAACCATGTGCGTGTTTACAGGCAAGCCCCTGCCCCAAGTCAAGCATGGCAGCCCATACCTATAACCCCAGGTTAGGAGATAGAGACAAGAAGAATTAGGAATACAAGGCTAACCTTGGTTACCTGTGGTTTTCAAGGCCATTATGTGAGTCCTTTTATTAAAAAAAGCAAGCAAGCCCCTAGCATGGTGGTGCATGTCTTTGATCTCAGGACTTAGAAGGCAGAGGCAGACAGATCTCTCTGAGTCTAAGGACAACCTAGCCTACAGAGTGAGTTCCAGGACAGCCAGGGCTACATATTGATACCTTGTCTCAAACAAAACAAACCAGCAAGCAAGCAAAGGAACGGAAAGTTGCTTGTGGTGGAAGGCAGGTAGAGGAACTGGCTCTGATGTAGCATCCCAGATTGTAAAACCTGTCTGGTAGCATTGTGCTGCCATCTTGTGGCCAATACGTTTAACTGCCCCTCCAACCTGACTCCTTCCATGTATCTGATAATTCTGGATTTATTTTATTTTTTAAAATTTATTTATGTATGAGTACGCTGTAGCTATCTTTAGAAGAGGGCATCCTATCTCATTACAGATGGTTGTGAGCCACTATGTGGTTGCTGGGAATTGAACTCAGGACCTTTGTTAGAACAGCGCTCTTAACCACTGAGCCAGCTCTCCGGCCCTGGATTTACTTTTTTAACCCCACTCCGCCACCCCTCCCCTTTGTCCCCCAGACAGGGTCTTGCCACATAATTCAGGCCTGCCTGGAACTTGGGGTCTTCACGTTTCAGCCGGCTGACTATCGCCCTCTGAAGCAAGTATCAGCAAACCAGGCTTAAAACTGTCATTTTAAAACCAAATGCTACCAAAGAGCTTTAAGGTATGCCATAAGTTCACACCTAGGAACCTTGTGGGAGGCTGAGGCTGGATGATTTTGAGTTCCAGTATAGCCAAGGCTAGAGAGAGAGACTCTGCCACAAAACAAAACCCATTAGTATTTCTGTGTGAATGAAGGTGCCAGTTACATAACAGAAAATACATCTGTGGTCTTGCCCCAGTTCTAGTATACAGCTGCTGAAAGTCTTTGAACATTAGAATGACTGACAGTGTTACTTATGTGCTAATATCTGGTGGCCCCCAAATTGGTTGAGGATGAGGCTGGTCACCAGAAAGACCAAGGCACAAAGAAAGGATTGACATTCAGCTCTCAATGTCCTTGGGCTTTTAGGGAAGGGGAGGTGTTATTAAGATGATGGAATCACTTATTGTCAATAATTAAACACCTTCGTATGTAATTACATAGCCTTTTGGCAGCCCTCCAGGACTTGTTAAAAGATTAGGAAGGTAGCTGATGCCCAGCCAGTGGTGGCACACTTCAATCCCAGCACTCAGAAGGCAGAGGCAGGCAGATCTCTGAGTTCAAGGCCGGCCTGGTCTACAGAGTGAGTTCCAGGACAGCCAGGGCTACACAGAGAAACCCTGTCTCGAAAAACCAAAAGGTGCCAGTAGTGGTGGTGCACGCCTTTAATCCTAGCACTTGGGAGGCAGAGGCAGGTGGATTTCTGAGTTCGAGGCCTGCCTGGTCTACAGAGTGAGTTCCAGGACAGCCAGGGCTACACAGAGAAACCCTGTCTCCAAAAAAAACAAAGAAAGGAAGGAAGGAAGGAAGGAAGGAAGGAAGGAAGGAAGGAAGGAAGAAAGGAAGAAAGGAAGGAAGGAAGAAAGAAAGAAAGAAAGAAAGAAAGAAAGAAAGAAAGAAAGAAAGAAAGACAGACCAAAATGGAACTGGCAGACAGGGAGGACAGAGGCTCCAGTCCGTGTACTCCCATTCTTCCTATGGATCTCCTCCCTCTCTGAGTCCCTGAGTTTTAGGCTTTATAAATAAATATTTAAAACTGTGGCAAACATCTGTGATCTCAGCAGTTGGGAGGTGGAGTCAGGAGGACTAGTTCAACTTTGTCCTTGGTTGTAGAGGAACTTTGAGGTCAGCCTGGGCTACACAAGAACTGGACTTGTTCCATTTCCAAACTCCCAAAGTAAGCAGAAAGTACCTTCCATGTTCATTTTGGATTTTACAGTTTTTTTTTTAAAGCCCTATATAATTTATATGTACCAGGTACACGCCGGTTCCCGCAGAGGCCGGAAGTGGGTCCTGGATCCACTGAAACTGTAGTTATGGATGGCCGTGAGTCACAATGCTGGAAACCAAACTCGGGTCTGTAAGAAGCAACAAGGGCTCTTACCGCGTGGCCATCCCTCCAGTGCACCTCCCTTTTAGAGGCAGAGTCTCAGTTTGCAGCCTTGGCTGGTCTGGACCACTTGCTTCTGCTTCCAGAGTGCTAGGACTAGGGGACCTGTGCCAGTGCCACCACATCCAACTAAGACTCTAAATCTTAACTGCCAACTGCAGGGAATGCCACAGCGAGAGATGCACAGTAAATTATAGCATGGAGGTTCTCTACAAAGTTAGGACAGCTTCTTCTAAAATCAAAACAAAACACCCCCCCATAACTAAACGAAACAAAATGAAAAGCCTCAGAGGTGAGCTGGGCATGGTCATGAGAGCCTGTTGTCCAGCATTTTCGAGGTGCAGGCAGGAGGATCACGAGTTCAAAGTCAGCCTCAACTACATAATAATTTTGAGACCAGCTGAGGTCACTTGAGATTCTCCCTTAAAAGCAAAATAAATACCGACAAAAGAGTAAAGAGAAGGGACAAAGAAGGACAAAATCGCACAATATGTCCCGTGACGTCAGTAACCAGTGTGGGTGGGAATGACGTCAGGTCTAAGCCACGCCCACCCGAAGGCACATTCATTACTTGAAACACACCAAACCAATCATCTTTTAATCAGGATGGCCATCTATGAGGGATTCTCAGAGACTGAACAGATTTTGATAGGTAATAAAAGCCTTTTCTTGCTGGGCAGTGGAGGCGCACGCCTTTAATCCCAGCACTTGGGAGGCAGAGGCAGGCGGATTTCTGAGTTCAAGGCCAGCCTGGTCTGCAGAGTGAGTTCCAGGACAGCCAGGGCTGCACAGAGAAACCCTGTCTCGAAAAACCAAAAAAAAAAAAAAAAAGCCTTTTATACATTCATATCAAGTTATTTTTAGCACAGGTTTGCTGCTGCCTAGAACCAGTGAATGAGGAAAAAGGACTTCCACATTCATTGGGCTTTCTCCTGGTATTGCATTTTCTGATAACCTGAAACAGACAAGATGAACCAAGTTTTCCCAACACTGGGGGCGACGTAACCCTGACCAGATGTGAACTTTGAATAAAGGCTGGCCTACGCCACCTACGCTCAGGACTCTAGTCAGTGTGAATTCGGTAGTGTTCAATGAGCTGTGAGCCGTGGGTAAAGGCCTGCCCACACTCTCTACATTCGTAAGGCTTGATACCGGGATGAAGTCTCTGGTGTTCCGTAAGCTGTGAACTTCGAATAAAAGCCATCCCACACTCCCTGCATACGTAGGGCTTCTCGTATGTATGAATTCTCTGATGACGAGTCAGCTGGAAGACTCGAATAAAGGCTTTCCCACACTCCTGACACTCATACGGCCGGTCGCCTGTGTGAATTCTTCGATGCTGAATAAGGTAGGAACTTCGACTAAAGGTCTTTCCGCAGTCCTTGCACGCAAAGGGTCTGTCACCAGTGTGGACGGTCTGGTGTAACCTGAGCTGAGCATGCTGTCTGAAGGTCTTCCCACACGCCTGACATTCATGGGGCTTCTCCCCAGAGTGGATCTTCTGATGCCGAGTGACTTCCGAGCTGTGGACAAAAGCCTTCCCACAGTCCTTACATTCGTAGGGCTTCTCGCCGGTGTGGATCCGCTGGTGTACGGTGAGCTGGGAGTGTAGTCTGAAGGCCTTCCCGCATTCTTTACACTGATAGGGTCTAACCCCCGTGTGGATTCTCCAGTGGACAGTAAGCTGGGACCCATGAATGAAAGCCTTCCCGCAGTCCTTACAGACGTGGGGCTTCTTACCCGTGTGAGCTCTTTGGTGCAGGATTAGCTGCGACCGTTGCCCAAAAGTCCTTGCGCACTCTTTGCATGCATAAGATTTGACACCAGTATGAAGTCTCTGATGGAGAGTGAGGTCTGACGGACTGCCAAAGGTCTTCCCACACGTCCTGCACGCACAGGGCTGCTCACCACGATGCGTCTGCAGGTGCTGCTGCGGAAGGCATCCTCCCGCTTCCCCGCGCTCACTACATCCCGTCACTTTCTCGGTCCGAGGCGGTAATGTGACAGGTGCGTGACACTTGAGAGCAGGAACACTTTCACAGCGGGTTTCCACGTGCTGGAAATGACACTCCTGACTTGCGCGCGTGCGCGGTCTCTCACAGCGGTCTGTGAGGTGGGGGTCCTCAAAGTCGCGGTGCTGCAAGCTTTTCTGGGGAACTCTCTCGCACTTTGTCTCCAAGTCTGAAAAAAAATCAGAGAAAAACAAATACGAGTTGTTTTTTTCCCATGAGTAAAAAAGAACAGAAAAAAGAAAGAAAGAAAGAAAGAAAGAAAGAAAGAAAGAAAGAAAGAGAAAATCACCAGAGAAAATATGGAAATAAAATTAAAATTTTCATCAGGAAACCCTGTCTAAAAAAAGAGAAAAGAAAAGAAAGAAAAGAAGATAAACAATCCAACCAACCAAATAAAGCTCTTTATAGCCAGCGACATGTAATGGGCATCTTCTGGGACAACTGGCACAAGACACCTGGGGCAAGAGAAATCTCTACTATGACAAGAAGGGGTATGAGCTGGGACCGCCTGCAGTCGACAAATATTATTGGCCCTTGGCATATAGCCTGTCTGAGCCTGAGGAAGCAATAAAAGTCCTGTGCCCTGATTGGAGGTGGAGAACTTTCCTGGGTTGTACCAGCAGAACAAGGACCAACGATGCTGTCTACGGCACACGGAACAATGAGCGGACAGCACCCACACTGCACTGCACCTGGAAGCTGACTCCTGAGGAGGAAGGGGTCTTAAACAAAAGGGAAAAGAACACCGGAAGCAGGAAGCAGCCTTCTCTAGAGGAGCAGTTGCAGCAGGAGTTTCCTTGCTTGCACTGCCTCGAGCCAGCGAGCGAGGTGGGGTGCTGGAAGGCAAGGAGCTAGAGTTCTGGCTGAGGAAGACCAAAGTGAGGAAGGCAGACAACTCATCAAATCTGTACAGACAAATCTATAGCTCATGTAATAAAGGTGTTAAAAAAAGGGTGTTTCTTGTTCTTATGGATTGTGTCCTTACATCCATGTATAAACAACTTTTGTGGATAAATACATACATCCCAGGGGTAGGGGTGGGAAAGAGGAGGGGCTGAGGGGTGGCTCCCTGATTAAGAGCACTGGCTGCTCTTCCAAAGGACCCAGGTTCAGTTCCCCATACCCACGTGGTGGCTCACAACCATGGCAACTCCCGTTCCAAGGAATTAGATGCCTTCTTCTGGCCTCCTTGGGGAACCAGGCATGTACATGCTGCAGATACACATGTAGGTAAAACACCCATCCATATAAACTAAAATAAAACAATAAATACGCATGAAATATTTTCCAAAATTATAGCTACCTGATTTAGCAACAATAGAAGACAGAAGGCATTGGAAGAAAATACCATCTAACACAGAATACTTTTAATTATCTTTATTTTATGTGCTTGGCCAGTGCTGACAGAGTCCTTGCTCTTCTCAGTAACTCGGGCCTTTATTCTACAGCCGGGTTTGAGGGCTTCCTGACAATCACTCAGGTTACAGCTGTCAGCTGTACTGCGACCACACTGTCCTGTTAGCCCCATGACTTCTCCAACAAGTCCAGGTCTTACTTACCTGGGTGCCGAGGACGTGTCATAAAATTCGTAACCATCCATGGCTCTTTCCCTTGCTCCAATAAGATGATGACATCAGGCTTAGAAATGACAAGTCCTGTTTATGGGAAAAGAAACAAGGCATGATCATACTGTTTAAGTTTCAAACTCTGGGGACTGGAGAGATGGCTCGGTGGTTGAAAGCACTGACTGCTATTCCAGAGGATCTGGGTTCAATTCCCAGCACCCACACGGCAGTTCACAACTGTAACTCTAGCTCTAGGAGATACAACACCTCATAAAGAAGACACACATACAGGAGAAACAATAACAAACATTAAATTTCAAACTCTGGTCAGTCATAGGGGCACATGTCTTTAATCACAGCACTCAGTAGTCAGAGGCAGGTGGATCTCTGTGAGTTTGAGGCCAGCCTGCTCTACATAGTGAGTTTGAGGCCAGCC